CTACGTTGGGGATGGGGTGGGGTGGGGATGGGGTGGGGTCTGTTAACTTTTGCTTGCGCTTGCAAACCAAGTTGATGCTACGTTGCTAACCAAGTTGGGGTTGGGAAAGTTTTGAAGCGCAAATGGTTCCAAGTGAAGCATGTGAAGATGGAGTTTACGCGCAAAGCGCGTGGTCGGAAAACGCATGGCACCCAATGTATTGACCGCAAATGGTCATCCCTGAAGAAGTTTATCCCGAAAGAGTTGGCATCCAAACGACCCAATGGCGGATTGAATGCACAGATCCAAATATATATATATTTATATATATAGCTTTGTGTGGCGCTGCAATACACCGCCTAAGCACCAACTGCAGAAGTTGGGTCAGATAGCACAGAAGGAGTGGAACGGGTGAAAAGGAGTGGCACGCCTGAGGGAGTGGAAGTGTGTTAAGGTTCATGAAAAAAGAGAAACGATTAAAGATCCGTTATTTTTTAACTTCCGGGTCCCCGAACGCACTGTCATTTCACAATGGAGCTACGATTTGAGAGGCGTTTTGTGGTGTAAACACACATTCAAAATGACATTGACATTGACCTAAAAAGGCATCGCCATAAAGTGCCAGAGGGGTTGTGATAAACGACTCGAAGATGCATGTGAGAACGCGCAAATCGCGCGGGTCCGTTGCAGCGGGCGTGACCTTGTTTATCCCAGGGACAAGTAGCAAGCGATAAGTCTTTGTTTATCCTATGAAGATAGTGGGACCAATCACACCATCACACCAAATATTCTCAACCACCGTTGGCCAGATGGGTGGATCTTAGGATGATCTCGGAAATTTGCCGTTCATCGTCATGCAATTTAAATCGTAGGTTGTGCAACTCCAAAGTAGGGAAGTGAAATTTTTCATCCCTTTGGCGTTCGCGGATTGGATGCGTTGCATTGTTCCATGGCCATCATCCTAACTTGATTATTTGCAAGAGGTGACAGTGACCTTTTCCAATCGCAATCACTGAACCAGACCTTTACGAACACCGCAATTATCATAGAACAAAATTCACCCAGTGTTTAGGCAGACATGCCCTTGGCAGGTCAAACCCATTTTGCGGAGGCTCCAGCCGCTCTAGCCTCCTAATGAAGCCCAAAACTGAAACCCGAAAAGGCATGTTCTTCCATTGCGGTATGTGACAGGAAGATTTGCTGCAACAAGCCTTTGCGGAAATGTCTCACGGTCTGGGGACCTCAGAAAGCATCGAAAGGCCCAGCGAAGACCCACCTTAGATCAGGATGAACTTTTTGTTTGAATGTATCAAAGGCTATTTGGAATTGGAAACTAAGTCATACAAGGATGTAGAAAGTATCAGCCCGCTTGCTCATCCATAGAATCCTATGTGATCCTGTGTGTGTTCTTTTCCCTTTGTCACCCGGTGGACCGACGCACGATATGGAGTTCGCTTCGCTCAGATTGGCGAGCCCACCGTGGTGGTCCGATTAGCGCCGATCTTAGGCACGCCCGGTTTTGTACCGCGCCCAACGCCCAACGGCTTCGCACCTTTCGTGTTTGAGCACTGACGTCGTTGGCACTAAGCGAACGACACCCCAACACACTGCACTTTGAAGGATCACCACACTGGGCCTTTTTGCAGGTCTTGAACTCAGGATGCAGCAAGTTGACACCGGTGTACTTCTTTTACGTGCGAGATGCAGGCTAAGACCAATACAATGTAGACATTATTGTCATGCAAGACTCAATGCTTGATCCTAGCAACCTCCTCGACATTCATTCGTTTCTATGAATGTTGGGTTAGTTTAGTTCATTACTTTTTATGCAACATGTCTGGTGAACATTGTTAAACTGTTTGCTTCATATGGACAAAGGCAAAGAAGCGTCAGCGTCAGAAGTGGCTGCCCCACAATGGTCGCAGACTTGGAACTAGAAGGTGTGAATGCAAGCTGCTGAAATTTCTGAAATACCGGCAGGCTCAGGCCAGGTATGTCCAATTATATAATATTGGACAACCACGACGATATACTGCTACACTAAATACAAGTACAATTCCTTCAACCCATTCTAGCATTGTGATCTCACCATTCGAGCGTCATCAGGTGCCACTGAGCACTTTCTTTGACACTGCTGGCTGAGCCCAGGGCCAAAGCTGCCGTCCGGTCAGCGCGCGAGAAAAAGCGCGCGGTGAGAGGGCTCCACACAATTCCATGAAACGCCAAACGATGTATGGTGTGGAATTTTGCTACAAAGCATTGCCCAGTGCTGGAGATGATGAGCTGCAGCTTCTACCGCTTCAGTTACTGTATAGTAACTTAGAAGACTTTCTAGAAGAGATGATGCCTTGAGCCATGTCACAATGTGATGCACAACGGGGATGTTGCTCCAACACTCTTGTCATCACTTGTCCCTTGCAAGTTGAAGCCACCTCAGACTTGCACATCGAGGTTAACATTTTATTACATAAAGATATGAACTAGCCGCTTATGGTTGACATAGATTGACAGACTAACCCAAGTGTAGCCGCATCCACCCATGTCCTGCAGATTGAAACTGACCTTGCTTGAACCTTAGACCCAATTGATAGGTTCAAGCAGGTGGAGCACTTCACCGAAGACGTGATACACGCAAGGGAATCTAGCATTTAGTTTTTTGTTCTTAGACTCATGAACTCATGGTATGTCATGGTTGTGTATACTATTTTAGTTGTAATTTTATCACCAGAATCATTTTTGCACCCGACTGTCCAAGCTGAGCCTCTCGAGCGTTGCGGAACCCTGAGAGCACCTATGAGAAAGAGGTCAAGCCAGGAGGAGCATTATACAGTGTAGAATAATAATATATATGTCATATATTATGTCAAATCTATAAATCAATTACATACATTCATACATGTTCTGTAGGCCCAGAAGTTGCTTCAGCCTTTCTTTGCGGAATGGTGCCAGGACGGGGCGGAGTCTGGTGTTCCAGCCGCCAGGCCGTCGGGCCGAGCTCGCTTTGCCCCGTCGGTTTCGTGAAGGCGAGTAGCGTCAGTTGGTTGCGACCGGTGGCGAAGAACTGCCGCCTTTCAGGGAGGAGCTGCGCTGTCTTCACCGACACGTCGCGCGTTTGGGATGTCGAAGTCATTGCAAAAATTGGACGTTCTTAAAATAGGCGTTTTAATGAATACAGAAAAGCCACCAGTTGCTTCCACAAGCGAGTTTGGATCCCATGTTCCTCCGTTCCTCAGTGCCAAGTTCGAGAAAGCAGACCCGAGACAGGCGGAAGACGGGGCGTTGTTTGGCGCTCAAACTTCAGCTCCTCGTTATGCTGCAGAGGCCGGGACTATGGATGGGGCTTTTGGCTATTGTCTAAGTTGTTTCTTTAAACAGCCCTCCCTTTTTTAACTCAACAAATATGATCAAAGAGGAAACAAATGCACGGCTGAAGCGTTTGATTGCATGTGGCTGTTCCAGACACTATGATGTGCGATAACATGCGATAACGACATCCCACGTATGTTGCCGTCGTCGGCTCGAAGCAATTGGACTCAGAACGCAACTGCTGGATGTTTGTCCTCCTGCAGGTGATGGTGGACAGGTTTGCCTGGGTGATTTTCGCCGTCGGTGTCATTTTCGTTCATTGCGAAGAGATCGAAGAATGCTTGAACAATGACACCTTTGCAGCTTTGCAGACCCACTCAGGTTTGCACTCAGAACCGGCTCCAGAACCGGCCGGCTTGGGCCCAGGTGGGAATCCGGAGCCTGCGATGCCATATATGTCCAACCTCGAGATCGATGACGAGGTCCTTGCCTGCACCGACCCAAAGTGGAAGCCAAATAAAGGCGGCATTTGGACTTTTGAGCAGATCGCAGAGGCATTCATGGAATTTGGCTTCAAGAAGTTTTACGAACCTGGAAGCAAGGCTGATGCAATCTCAGCTTGTGTTGCTTCCTTGACCATTGCGGCTGGCGAGTGTCAGGAGACACATCACAGTATGGGTATTGGGTGCGATGCCAAAGCTACCCACGACTCAGGTGTTTTTCAGCTGGACTTTCTTCGTGCACCCTTCACCCCACTGGGAGACAAAGTCAATCCGCAGATCAAGAAAGATGGAAACATGATGAACCTTTGCATCAGTGGCTTTGGTGCCGGCTTCGTTACCGGTGCACCCTACACGTCCAGCAGCAAGACGGGCGTTGCATACTTGGAGAAGACACCCATTTATACATGCATGGGTGCTCCAGCTGATGTGAATGCTTACTCTTGTCCTGACCCTCTAGCCAAACCAGGAGTGATCTACCCGAACTTCATAGGTACTTTCTGCCACAAAGGTTATTTGCAGAATGACGAGCAAGGTAAACAGCCTTGTAGCCTCACGCAGACGACGCCCCGCTGCTGCGGCATTTTCATGGGCGGTGCTAATGACTACCAGCTGGCTCCCTTCCCAGAGTACTATTTCATGAAGGCCCAGGAGCACTTGAGCAAGATGCAAGGCAAGAACTTCAAGACAATTTGTGAGAAGGTCATTGATTATATGGATCAACCGTGATCAATTGATCGTCAGATGTAGGTCCACCATTGCCACAGGGCACAAGCGGCAAAAGAAAGAGTGGAACGGCCATTGTATATGACATGCATAAGCCATGTTTGGACGAAACCACTATCCCGTGCTGGCGAAGAAAAGGCTCCGAACATACGGCATCGCCACCAACGAACACATGGCTGTTGCAGCTCCCCGCGGAGAAGAGCAGCGCCCGGTTTTCTCTCTCTATGAACTTAATGAACCGATCGCGTGAATATACGGAGTTAATGTCAGGAGTGGTCTAGGACCTCCTGAACCAACTCGATGATGCAGCTGGGATCTCAGACTATTCAGCCTCCAAGACTCCAGAACCGTTTCCTGGCTGGTTGCTGGCGCAGCAGCTGCGACCTCCAAATCCACCAGGCCAAAAGCAAGCCATGCAGCCATGAAATAGCTTTTTGTTACTACTAGTAAGGCACTTGTTTCTAATAGCAAACATTGTTACTACTAGTAAGGCACTTGTTACTATACTAGTAACAATGACCCAAATCTGTCACCTCAAGGGTCACTCTGTCACCCGTCGCCCAGTCACTGACCGGTCCACCGAAAAAACCGCATGAGACATCATGAGACCGCTGTTTGTACAACTTGCTTGTGCCTGAAAAGAGATCTCTATGACGTGACGTGCTTCTCCACCATCCCGGGAACTGCACACCAAAAAAGGTCCCGAAAATCATCGCGATTCAACCCCTTCTAGAAAGCAAGACCCCACCTCGCTTCAACACCGGATCAGTCGAAGTGAAGGAAGGAGAGAGCTGCACCCCACCCCACCGGGCTTCAACACTGGAACATTCGAAATGAAGGTTAATCGAGGTGCACCCTGATGTGCGCCGTGAACCCACCCGATGCGCAAGAGAGACCCTTGCTCTCCAGGTGACCCTGCTTTTAAGTGATCCGAGTCTGACTCAACTTGACTCTAAGGAACTGATCGAGTAACAAAAGAATCACCATAGATGGTCCACCTGGTGATTAAGGATCAAGCAAAAGCACGTGGCCACTGCCTAGTTGGAGACTTGGAAGCAGATGTGCACGACAGTTCGTAGGCAGACAGATCAGACAGACTCCCAGATACGTCCGGATGTTCAGACAAGTAGGATTCAGATGCCCCTGTCTCACCTGTCAAAAAATGTTAAAACATGTAAAAACATGCTCTAGTAGCTCTAGCCTTGTCTCATACATGTTTGACTAAGGTCATAATCTCGCCATTGATAGGAGTGACGCGGAGCACTTACCACCGCTGCAGCCGTGGCCGGGCAGGGCCAAAGCTGCCGTCCGGTCAGCACGCGAGAAAAAGCGCGCGGTGAGAGGGCTCCACACAATTCCACGAAACGCCAAACGATGTATGGTGTGGAATTCTGCTACAAAGCATTGCCCAGTGCTGGAGATGACGAGCTGCAGCTTCTACCGCTTCAGTTATAGTAGAAGACCTACGAGAAGAGATGATGCCTTGAGACATGTCACAATGTGATGCACAACGGGGATGTTGCTCCAACACTCTTGTCATCACTAGTCCCTTGCAAGTTGAAGCCACCTCAGACTTGCACATCGAGGTTTACATTTTGTTGCAGCATAAAGATATGAACTAGCCCGCTTGTGGTTGACATAGATAGACTGATAGACTAGCCCAAGTGTAGCCGCATCCACCCTCGGGCATGCTACCGTTGATGTGATGGCCATAGCCTCAGCACGTCCAAGTACGACATGTCCTGCAGATTCCAACTGACCTGTTTAAGAACCTCTGTCCAGGCAGAGTCCAGTGCTTCAAGTTCGGCCGTGCCAAACACCAGCCCGGTGGCAGAGAAGGCAGAGGAGGTCAAAATCGAAGCCAAGGACCATCTTGTTTTGATGTTTTCTTGCATAGGTGCCTTGAAAAGCTTCTTGTTTTTTATTGAGGCTTTACGGACGTATATAATATATATTATATTACATATTATAGTTATACACCTTTTTACCTGCACAGATGGTTGATGTTAACCTGAGCATAGACTTGCCACCTGGCTCGACTTCGAACAGGAAGTAACAAGCTTGAACAAGTGGATACAGTAAGTCTAGGACCCGCCGCCTGATCAGACCCTCGAATCGAAACCCTGGCAGGTTTGCAAACAATGTGTTGCAGATGTTTATCTAATGGTCGTTTCCCGAAAAACATCGGACACACACACACTGCTTTACTCAATGGTGCCATTGTGTTTGTTTTTAGTTGGCACATGTTTTTCATCCTTCATCCTGTGTTAAACCCCGTTCCAGTGCAACCCCCAAGGACTTGCTACGGTCTCGGGTCACTGAATTGGCCCCTCCTCCGCAAGGATGGGGCAGAGGAGTCTTCGCTGGCTGGGCACTTAGTGCTGCCAAGCGCACCCATTGGCCGGACGCGGGCGGCGCCGGGACGTCATGGTCCATCAGGCAGAAACGGGGCTCCAGGTGGCGAAACACCGGCGGTGCTTCCAGAGCTGTAGATCAAATCAGCAGGTGATGTTTGGTATGTGAAAACTCGGGCGCGCGGTTGTGATGTGCGTTTGACCGCGGATCATAGAAAATTGATTGCGTCGCGATTGTTGTTTTTGTTGATATCAGAAAGGATGGTTCAATAGTATGTGTTTGTATCACTTTAAGCTTAACTTAACAGTTTTTGTCAACTTATTCGATTTCCACACGCAAATTCACACATTACTGTATGTCATCAACGTTTGGACCTTTGGAAGACCTGAATCATTAGCTATTTTGGTTCGACTCTTCGTTGTCCAGTGTATACGAGCTTGGAGCTACGTCCGACTGTCTTCAATGCGTTTGCGTGCAATCTCTGGTGCGCTCCTTGCGGAGCTGGATGATGATGAACTGCAAGAAATGGTGGACACAGGCGAAACTGTCAAGGCCTTGAAAAGACGCCTTGCTGCTCATTTGGGGTATCCAAGGTTTCGGCACAGACTTTTGAGTGAGAAGGGTGAGTTGCATGATGACGAGGCTTTGATGGTTTGGCCTGAGTTGCAGTTGTTAATTTTGAACTATTGTCCCTGTGAGTATTGGGAGGACACGAACCTCATGCTTGCATGTTCCAGGGATCATGACAGCGAAGTTGAGAGTATGCTTCAAAAGCCACAAGATCCTAATATGCGCAATTGTTTCGGAACATGCCCGATTCATTTTGCAGCTTTGTTTGGCAATTTGAAAGTGGCGCGTTTGTTGGTTGAGGCCGGAGCCAACAAGGAGGCAACGGATGCATACCTAGTTCATCATAATACGGCCTTGCACTGTGCATGCCAATGTGGCCACTTGGAAGTGGTGCGTATGTTGATTGAAGCTGGAGCCAACAAAGATGCCAAGCGTACAGACGGTTCAGCCCCTTTGCATTTGGCAACTACTAGCGCACACTTGGAGGTGGTGCAAGTGCTGCTTGAGGCTGGAGCCAACAAGGAGGCAAAAAATGTAGATGGCAAAGCCCCTATGGGCAGCTAGCGGGGTCACTTGGAAGTGGTGCAAGTCCTGCTTGACGCTGGAGCCAACAAGGATGCACCAGATGCAAATTGTGAGACACCTTTGCACTTGATTCAAGCTGGAGCGAACACAGAGGCAACATGTACGGATGGCTCATCCCCTTTGCATCTTGCAACGTTTGGTGGCCACTTGGAAGTGGCGCGATTCTTGATTGAGGCCGGGGCCAATACGGATGCACCAGATGCAAGTGGTGATACACCTTTGCACTTTGCGTGCGGCGAGGGCCACTTGGAAGTGGCACATATGCTGATCGAAGCTGGAGCCAACAAGGAGGCAACAGAAGCAGTTGGCAGAACTCCTATGCACTGGGAGTGGTGCGAGTCTTGCTTGAGGCTGGAGCCAACAAGGATGCAACAGATGAAGATTCTGATACAGTGCTGCACTTGGCATGTGATGAGTGCCACTTGGAAGTGGCGCGCCTGTTAATCGAAGCTGGAGCCAACAAGGAGGCAACATGTGTAGATGGCTTAACCCCATTGCATTGGGCAGCTATTTCTGGCCAAGTGGATGTTGCGCGATTGCTGCTTGAGGCTGGAGCCAACAAGGATAGAACACGTGCTGATGGATCAACCTGAGCTGCATTTGCAGTACTCCGAGCATATAGGGTCGTAAGGGCTTGTCAAACGGGTGTCTGGGGGTGCGGCTGCCGTTTTAGTGGGGGGCATGTCCACTCCTGCTACTGTCCATGCTGCTGCCCGTCCTCAGCATTGTCCGTATTGTCATGAGCCCGTGGTCCCTTCCATCGATCATGTGCTGTGGGTCTGCCGGCTTTTCGCTGCGCTGCGGGTGCTGCCGCGTCCTGTTTCCGACTTTGCTGCACGTTTAGGGTGGGGCCCTGGGACGACTCTCGACTCTTATTTGGACCTTCTTCAACAAATGGGGAACATCCGACACGAAGAGCGCGCGTTACGGCGTAGAATTGTACTCTCCCTGAGGACTATAGCGAGTGGCTTTGCGTGTCCTTAACCCGCGGCAGGTTGGGACACTCGCAGCGCTACCCCCCCTGGCAGCTTCCAAGGGCTACATGGAAGTCGTGCAAGTACTGGTGGAGGCTGGAGCCAACCAGGGGTCAACGCGTGGAGATGGCTGCGCACCTTTGCATTTGGCAGCTCTCAGCGGCCATTCGGAAGCCGTGCAACTGTTGATTGAGGCTGGAGCTAGCACGGAAGAAACAGATCATGTTCCTACACACCTTTGCACATGGCAGCTTCAAAGGGCCACCAGAGTGTGGTGCAATTGTTGGTTGAGGCCGGAGCCAACAAGGATGCAATGAATGCCTATGATGAAACA